AATGGGGTAAAAGCGTAACTTGAAGTTAAATACTTTGAAACTTTATTTCATGTGCAATGGGGCAAGAGCAGAATTATTAACAAATCTGCTGTAAAATGCTTTTTATTGCATTATGCAAGTACTCTATACTGCAAACAAGTACTCTTAGCTGAAATATAAAAGGGGATATAGTGAAACGAAACAAGGAAACAAACATATTAAATGAAGAAATTTCGCTCATATTGTAATAAAAATAGCCTGTATACGCACTTGCCCCGTTTACGAACTTACCCCACTTCACCTTATATTTAAAATTTCGGTAAATGATTGAGAAGTTGACCACTCTTAAAAATTACAGAAATAGTAATTGACCTATTCGCTAGTAGCTGACCTTATACTAGAAGAAATATATTCCATCCGCGAAATATTCACAACGTATGAACTATTTTGCCTTAATCATACAGCTATTATTAATAGAATAAAAAATAGAAATGTAATGGCACATTAATGAATTTAGATGTTATTAGTAAGCAAACTTCTCTTCACATGTTATCGTTTCAAAACTTAACAGATATGGCATATGTAGTTCACTTTCATCACAAGTGCACAACTTAAACCTTATTTTTAAAATTATCTAAAAACTGGTTAACTGTTGACATCGTTACTTTAATGTGAAGACGTGTCGATATAAGGAAAATCGTGTGTTAATTTATCACGTAGTAATTTCCTTCGAGGTCGTTCAATACATATTTGCACAGTTTCCAGTAGTCGTGCGATCAGAAAATCGAGCAATGCAATTCACGTGGCAGTTAAAGAACCGGATTTACCTAATGAAAAAAAATCTATATCACCGTGTCCCGTTCCTAATTGTATGCGTACCATGAACCCACCACGGTTTCCCTTTTGAATGGCAAACACAGCTGCGAAATCATAGGTCTGCTTGCGCTAACAACGTTTGATTATCAGATAAATCGAACACGTTTAACTTCTGATCCTTCATATTATTGCAAAATGTGCTTTCGAAACGCGAGATTGAGTTAATCTACTGATGATCGGAAGTTGAAGTTGCTTTCTACTACAGAGAACGAATGATAGAAACATTAGCCAACTTCAATAATATTTATCTTTATGTTACATCGAACTGAAATAATTGGATTACATCGTCTATGGGTTACCTAATATTTGTTCAATATAAATTGTGACATTTAACACTTTAAGTGACTGATTTAATTTTGAGAGTTTAAGACGAATTGCTCTAAATTTCTAAATATATCAATATCAATATATCAATATATCAATATCAATATATCAATATCAATATATCAATATCAATATATCAATATCAATATATCAATATCAATATATCAATATCAATATATCAATATCAATATATCAATATCAATATATCAATATCAATATATCAATATCAATATATCAATATCAATATATCAATATCAATATATCAATATCAATATATCAATATCAATATATCAATATCAATATATCAATATCAATATATCAATATCAATATATCAATATCAATATATCAATATCAATATATCAATATCAATATATCAATATCAATATATCAATATCAATATATCAATATCAATATATCAATATCAATATATCAATATCAATATATCAATATCAATATATCAATATCAATATATCAATATCAATATATCAATATCAATATATCAATATCAATATATCAATATCAATATATCAATATCAATATATCAATATCAATATATCAATATCAATATATCAATATCAATATATCAATATCAATATATCAATATCAATATATCAATATCAATATATCAATATCAATATATCAATATCAATATATCAATATCAATATATCAATATCAATATATCAATATCAATATATCAATATCAATATATCAATATCAATATATCAATATCAATATATCAATATCAATATATCAATATCAATATATCAATATCAATATATCAATATCAATATATCAATATCAATATATCAATATCAATATATCAATATCAATATATCAATATCAATATATCAATATCAATATATCAATATCAATATATCAATATCAATATATCAATATCAATATATCAATATCAATATATCAATATCAATATATCAATATCAATATATCAATATCAATATATCAATATCAATATATCAATATCAATATATCAATATCAATATATCAATATCAATATATCAATATCAATATATCAATATCAATATATCAATATCAATATATCAATATCAATATATCAATATCAATATATCAATATCAATATATCAATATCAATATATCAATATCAATATATCAATATCAATATATCAATATCAATATATCAATATCAATATATCAATATCAATATATCAATATCAATATATCAATATCAATATATCAATATCAATATATCAATATCAATATATCAATATCAATATATCAATATCAATATATCAATATCAATATATCAATATCAATATATCAATATCAATATATCAATATCAATATATCAATATCAATATATCAATATCAATATATCAATATCAATATATCAATATCAATATATCAATATCAATATATCAATATCAATATATCAATATCAATATATCAATATCAATATATCAATATCAATATATCAATATCAATATATCAATATCAATATATCAATATCAATATATCAATATCAATATATCAATATCAATATATCAATATCAATATATCAATATCAATATATCAATATCAATATATCAATATCAATATATCAATATCAATATATCAATATCAATATATCAATATCAATATATCAATATCAATATATCAATATCAATATATCAATATCAATATATCAATATCAATATATCAATATCAATATATCAATATCAATATATCAATATCAATATATCAATATCAATATATCAATATCAATATATCAATATCAATATATCAATATCAATATATCAATATCAATATATCAATATCAATATATCAATATCAATATATCAATATCAATATATCAATATCAATATATCAATATCAATATATCAATATCAATATATCAATATCAATATATCAATATCAATATATCAATATCAATATATCAATATCGAGCATCGAACATCGAACATCGAACATCGAATCTCGAATCTCGAATCTCGAATCTCGAATCTCGAATCTCGAATTTCGAATCTCGAATCCCGAATCTCGAGTCTCGAATCTCGAATCTCGAATCTCGAATCTTGAATCTTGAATCTCGAATCTCGATTATCGAATATCGAATATTAAATACAAATAAACACAATAACAAATATTTTAAACTAAACAAATATAAATTATTTCAAATATAAAGTACATAAACCTTAGTATATTTTCCATTAAAATGATTTGACACAAAAATGACATGTTTCCATAAATAAAGTACCTTACAACAAAGACTGAAATCACTGTTGCTCACAATTGAAACATGCGATAGTTTTATTTATTGCAGTTTACAACATTACAGAGTAGCAATTTGGAATATTTAAATCCACATAACCTCCTAGCGGTGTACTTCTGATTTCGTAAATCTAAAAGGATTTGTACTGGTAAATGTAAATTATGATTTACGAGCCACTCTTTCCTTTTTCGCGTTGTTACGTTGGTAATAAATGAGCGACGGTTCAAGTAGCTGATTTCTATGTAAATATATTTAGCAATTTGCTGGCGTTTTTAAGTGAACCGTGTCTAAATATCGCGCGTGTAATGATTTTTTACGAAGAAAAGTCTATGGAAATATGTTGCACGAAGTATCATCGATTACTTCTACTTCGAATTATGAACTCCGAGATGAGTATTAATGGAAGGATCTTCGCGTAAATCTTCGATAAAATCAATCTCTGTCAAAGGAAGGGATCTCGTGAAAGTAACAGTTATCTTAACTTTGTAAGTTTAATTGGACTCGGGAAAGGTTTACAAGGATTTTCCATTTCCTATTCATGTTGTTTACAAGATTAACCTTTTAGAATGTGAGCTTACAGCAGCTGATGAATAATTAATGCGGAGCTTTACGTTCGCAGAAAATGATTGCGTAAAGCCTTTATTTAAATAAGGTTTTCTTAAAATTATATGAGCATGACTAAAGTTCTAAGTTAACAATATAGTGGTACTTCGAATGACTAGAATAAATTAAATTTAATTCTAGTTGATTTTAATAATTATTTAATATTCTGATTTGATGTATTTTAATTTTGCATTAAAATCTGAATTAATTTAACTGAATTATTAAAATTACCTAATTATTTGATTTCAATTTAAAAGTGATGTAATTATTTTATATTATATTGTTAATAAGTTAATTTAAATTTCTTATAAAGACTTTAACATTATGTAAACGTTCATATGTTTTAATTTGTCTTTAGTTTCAGTCACTAAATTCTTCACTATTTCTCTACGTTATTCATCACTATATACACGAAAGTCTTCCGCATCTAATTTTAATCCAAACACCGTTGTGTACATTAATGTTTGGATCACAAATGACCCAGCATTTTCGGGCCTAATAGACATCCTATGATTCATATCATCTCTCGTATACCAATTTATTTTTCCTTGTTCGATGATCTTTAAATGGATTTACTAAAAATGTACCGTAATTTCATATTCATTTCTCGAACGCCTGCTGCGACGCTTATGAATATTAAACTAAAAAAACTGTCAATTTTTTACCAAAATATTCTCAGACCCAGGAACACTCTTACACGTTGCAAAAGCTAGATCGTATCTTTTGTCCACATAATAATTTCTCGTCTTTGCCGGTAAAAGAGTAACAAACGTTAACAGCGGAAGTCCCAATGTTTACGCAGCGTGAATTTACGTCGTAATAAGCGGTCAATTAACAATTAATTGGTCTGCGTGTCCTGTCATTTTAAGTAAACGCGAACCACGACCGCACTACTCGCGTTCTTTATTTTTAAGGAAGCGTTTTTCTGTCCTTGCTGCTTCTGATCACATTTCTTGATGAGATCTTACCTTGTGGCATCGTACGAGAGGTAGAATGGCCATGCACAGAAGGACAAGGGCACGAATCATTTTGCGTGAAAATATTCCTGATGGGCTGCGTCACATCGCTGAAACATCAAATGGACAAAAAAAGAATTATGAATGAGTTAACTCGACGCTGTGATTTAGTGTATACGTTATACTAGAAGAATGTCGTCATAGGGAAATGTTGAATGAGTGTTGTTTTGGTGAAGGAGAACACGGGCAGGTGCCGGGATGATCAAGCAAATTTATTTCTATAATTTGTAAATAAATGTGATGATCGGATTTTTAAATAAAATTTTTGTTGACGCATCTTGATTTTTAAGTTTATTTAGTTTATTTTGAAGATAGATAGTAATATATCTGTGAGAAAATTTAAAATGTGGAATAATTGTTTTACTGTGAAACAGAAGATGTAAATTTCTGATTCAGAACAAGTTAGAATATGACTCATAGTTTGTTAAAAATTGTTGTGAAAAAATTGTAAGAATAGAATATAGTTTTATTATAACTTTATAGTAATAATTTTAATATTATAATTACTGTATTTAATTGTCTTCTTGTAATATTACATTTATGGTTGTAGTATAAGTACAGTAATAATTAATTAGAGTAGTCTTGCAATATTACAGTATTAGTTATAGCACTAATTAGGTACAGTTTTCTTGTAATACAGTAATATAATTATAGTAATAATTAATTATAGTCTTCTAGTAATATTATACTAATAAATACAATAGTGATTAATTATAGTTTTCTTGTAATAATATAGTAATAATTATAGTCTTCTGGTAATATTACACTAATAACGACAGTACTAATTAATTATAGCATTGCAATATTAAAGTTGCAAAATAATTTGAATTATAAGTTTCAAAATATAAATACAATAAATACTACACCATATTTTATTAAAATTTACAATTTAAATTATTTTGCAATTACTTTAAAAATCACTTTAAATGTAAATACAAAATGTTCATAGTGGAGTTAGTATTTGTATAATAATATTACATTTTACATCAAATAATTCTGTGAACTTTAAATAAAATATTGTAACCTCATAATAATATTGTAACATCATATAAACATTACAACATATATATTTAAACAACCATTAAATTGAAAAGAATATTACATGAATTAATTTCTTCAAATACTTTTTAATGTATTTCAAAAATCAGTAGCTTTATAAATACATAAAAATTAAAGCGAGGTTATGAAAAGAAATTTAGGTTATCTCCCATTATTCAAACTTTGAGTAGATTTCCATTTGTTGTATTTTTAACATATCACAAAATGTGAAATTCTGCTTAAAAGAAGAATGATCTTGATATCAATAAATCAAAACAGATGTGAGCTTGTAACAAGTTTTGTGAAACACCCTGTACACTGACATCGCATAAATACGATATCTTTATATTATCAAATCAAGTCAGACTTTCCATGTTTCGAAATCGGCCATTTGATATGCAACAAGCTAATAGGAGGCATGTAATTTTTTGCGATGATGAAAAACAGAGAGGTTGATTTTGTGATAAAATAGTTGGTAAAATTCCACGATATTAAAATTATGAGGCGAATTTATTATTGCAAATGTATCTGTTTAAGAAATATCAGTTTACCTAACAAAAAAGAACACTGTTTTTTTAGTAAAAGAATCGATGCAAGGGTAATATCGAAATTCTGAATAAACATGTTGAGCAAAGATTTTATGGTAATGAGAAGATAGAAATTCATCTCGTAATAAAGAAGCTGATATTTCATAATATTAACGTAATAAAATATATTTTTTTATGGAAGGGTAGTAATGAAAGGATTTATGCGAGGGTAGTAATGAAATTATAGATAAATTTATTGGAAAAATATTTCTACATATAATAATGAGAAGATATTGGTTTTATGATGAAACTCATAAAATTTTACAATATGTAAATTATGTAATACATTTTGTTATGGTAATAGAATTGGTGTAACGATAACCTTTAATTATTTTGTTGTGCGGAAAATTTTCTGTGATAATAAAAAGAGAATTAATTTTGTGATGAAGGTGTAATATTTTATAATATCAAAATTACGTAATATAATCCTTTATGATAACAGAATAAATGCATGTGTAATAGTGTTGTGTAATAATGAAATTGTAAATAAAAGTAAAATTTTAATAATTGTAAAATTTTTGGAAAATTGTTTCTACAATAATGAGTAAATACTGGTTTCACAACAAAATTAATAAAAATTAATAATATCGAAATTATCTACTAAATTTATAATAACGAAAGGATTTATAAAATAATAATAATTTAAATTATAAATAAGTTTGTCGCAAACAGTTTCCTGTGATAAAGAAATGAGAAAAAAATGAACTAATAAAATTTCATAACACCGAAATTATTGTATAATAAATTACTTTTACAGAAAGCTATCACAGTTTCAAAAGAAAAAGACTGTTATATAAAGGATAAAATTTTCTATTTATAGAAAGCTATAAATAAAACCGTGACTGAATGTCATGCTATTTGACGTGTACAAAATATCGAACAAAAGAAACAGGCAAAAGCAGAATCGATGGGATTCCACGATAGGAAGAACATAAATAAAGTAGTTATAAGCTATCTTTAGATGCGAGAAAGGTAAGCTTCACCGAGATTAATTGACGTTTATTACAAGATTCCAAAAAAATAAAATGTCATTAACATATAAAGTGGTACGAAATCGGTTGTGAATTAATGAATGCGTGGATTATTAAATTATTATAGCAGGTACTTTTGAAGGAACGTGACGGCGACGTTTGCAAAATACGTCGACTAAAAGAAATTGATTTCGTCAAAAATAATCGAGATTGCATGATTATGGTGCTATAAATAAATAAATGTGCCATTTTTAAATACAAGAAAAGAAAAGTTAAACGAGTATAATTTGCAGGTTATGATATTATAATAATTATATAATATGAAGAAATATTATCGAAATTTTATTTAATGGATAATATACGCGATTGATGTTTTAAGTTTATAATAGATATTAAGATACTAATGATCATCCAAATTCAAGTTCCAGAGAAATATCAATTGTATCTAAAAGTTAAGTTGTATAAGTAACAAGGATTTCTGTTCGGGTTGGGTTAGGTTATTCAATTTTAGTGTTTAATCATTTGCATCATAATTTATTTGTTGGATGCGTCGCGTGTAGACTCGTCAAATTAGTACAAGAGGTTAATAGTGTTAATGATCCATAATAGGTATAAATAAAGAATAATAAGAAATGACTAAAAGATTTGTGTTATGGAAATTTGAAAATTGGAAATCTGAGGGTTTGGAAATTTGAAAATTTGAGAATTGGAAATCTGAGGATTTGGAAATTTGAAAATTTGAGAATTGGAAATCCGAGGATTTGAAAATTTGGGAATCGAAGATCTGGGAATTTGAAAATTTGAAAATTTGAGAACTGGAAATCTGAGGATTTGAAAATTTGGGAATCGGAGATCTGGGAATTTGAAAATTTGGGAATCGGCGATCTGAGGATTTGAAAATTTGAAAATTTGAGAATTAGATGTTCACCAAACAATATCAGCAATATACTCTGGTTTGAATAACCACATACAATTTTATACATAATGTCATGTATATAAATAAAGAATTTGTATATAGACCGATAATTAACACCAAGAAAACATTTTTGGAGAGCAAAGAAAAAACACAGAGCTCAATTAAGGAAAATCTACTAACTACCATCCAAATTCAAAGATTTCCTTAAAAGTCGATTAATTAAACAAGCTGAGTTATGCAATTAAACCCAGCTATACCTCTATGCTTCGAGTATGCTATAGGGAACGTTTCAACAAAATTTTTTGAACAAATACAATATTTTTTAAACTGAATTATTTCAAGTCTACTTGTTAATTCAAATTAATTAATAAATTTGATTACATATTTTAAAATGTTTGTTATTTACATTCAAGGTAAACATAAATATCTGTTATTAATAGATTAAATGTTATTAGAAGATTAACACTTCTAAAGAATTTTAGAAATTTTAATTTATGCAGTTTTAGATATTATTTTTAATACTACATTATTTTTTACAATATATTATTTCTCATTCTTAATAGAAATTACTGACAGAATTATATTTGAGAACGTCATTCAATGTATCCTGCAATTTTGTTAATATTTTCTCCAAATTAATATTTTACTCCTAAAATTATCCACTTATCTAATTTCAAATTTTTTTGTTAAAATTTAATTTAATTTAATTTTATGTTGAAACTTAACCAATGATGCTATTTAAATTTTTTATGAAGATCTCAATTTATTTTGAGATAGAACTCCATGCTAAACTTCACAGTATTTCTTAGAGTATTTATTACTGTATCAATGTACAAAAAATCTCATTATTTTATAGATATACTTAACAAACGTTACTGATAGAATTATGTTTGAGAGCAGTATTTAATGTTTGTTACAAAATTATTAATTATTAAGTTACAAATAGCAATTTTCAAATTTCAATATTATAAATGTTAAATTACTATAAATTTACTATAAATTTAATATTTAAATTACTATATAACAAATCACATAAAAATGGTCACTCTAAGAGTTAAAATCACATGTACATAAAAGTGACCATCAGTATTAAAATAATAATTGAAATACATAATAAAAATAATAATAAATAATATTTAAAAGAAAAGTTGTCTCATCGAGAACATGGTGTAACGTTTAAGGTAATAAGAAGATGAACTAAAATAATGAATATCGGTTAATGAAACATCGTAGTTAGAACGTAATGTTAACGAGGTGGTTGACCGAGTTGGAACAATTTGCTCGCTGGCCAGAAACTGATATCTCTATTGTTGGAAATGTAATTAGACGAAGTCGTGAGCCGAAGAAACTCAGCGAGTTATATAATTTCTGTCGTGGTTGGTGCGCAATGCGAAAAATAGGAGAAAAAAAAACAAACAAAGAAAGACGTGTGTACAGTCAAGAGAAAATTGACTTTCCTAAGGGAAAATGATGATGTAGTGCAAAGGACACATTAGTGCTTCTTCATTTTAGCTTGGTTAATTTATGAAATTACTAATTTTTTAAAAGTTAGAAATTTGGAGATTTGCGGAGTTTAATATTTTTGCAATTTTTGAGATTTTGGAAATTTTTGAAATTGAAGATTTGGGGAATTAGGGAATTTGGAAATTTAGAA